TTTTGGTTTTTCTCCAGTACCGGGAACCGAACTCATGACCTTGCGCTTGCCAGGCAGGCGCTTTGCCAGTGAGCTAAATCCCCAGCCCCTGATTAGATTTTTCACTAAGATTTGTATTGAGCTATTTTAGTATTTCAAAATGAAAGTTTTTGTTGATTAATAATCTTTGTCATTATATATTCTAAAATTGCATGATAAAAACAGAAAGTATTAATTTTTCCCTGCATGTTATAAAGTTCAGATTAATTAGCATTTTAAAAATAAATCATTAGTTATAGGGTCAAAATTCTGAAGTGTCTATCTCCATTTTAGCTGCACAGCAAAATGTAGCATCTATGCCGGTGGTTTTTTAATTTTTCTAGTTTTGTGGGGTATGATAGTATTGTATGGCTGTTAAGAGTTCTGTCTAGACTATTTTCTCCTTTCACAGAAGTGTTTTGATGCCTGAGAATGTCTTGGATGCAGCTGGTTTTGTTTCATATCACTTAACTCTTAAAACTATGGCAGAGTACAGCTGGCAGAAAGTGTTACAGATGTAATCCTTATTTTCCTTGTTTTTGTTGGTATTGTAGGAGGGATCTGTAGGCCTTTCTGTCCAGCGCTCTGTTTTTGGAGAAAGAAATTTCAATATACACAGCTCCATTTCACATGAGAGCCCTGCAGTGAAAGTAAGTAATGTAGTGTAATAGTCGAATTGTCAGTCAGTCATACACTGAAGAGCATTTAGGTAATGATTAGATTAGTATTTATTAAGTAGAGTATAGCTTTGGCAGTATAATTTCTATGAGCATTTAATCAAAACTTTTATTTTCTCTAATTTTTTTCTGGTGAGATGTTTTATCATTTTTGGTTAGCTATTTTTCTTTCCCTATGGGACTATTTAGAACATTAAGACCTTTGCTGTCAAGATTGCCAGAATGATGAGCTTCCTTACCTCACATAGTTCTGACACATACATAATGGTGTAAAGATGTTTATAAAGTCAACAAAATTGTCAATGAGGGATGATTATACATTGACTTACAATATCTTGTGACACCTAGACAACTTGAGCAACAAATTAAAACTGATTTTAGCCAATGTAATCGTGCAGTTTACAGTTCTGAAATGGAGTTAGACACTAGAACATACCTTATACCTTTGTAATGTATCAGCAAAAATTCTATTAAAATGTAAGTCGAATAGTTAATTAGTAAATTTTAATACAGGTTGTTTAAAAAACCCAGAAAGATCTTCACCATTTTAGCAGATAGCTGTTTATTTATAATCCAGTAGCACATTCAGCAGTTTTAAGGTTATTCTTCTGCTACAGCTTTTTACCATACTAGCATTAGAAGGCATCATATTATATCATGGAAATAGAAAATGCAATTTTTCTTTTATAGCTTGTAAAGCAGTCAAAGACTATGGATGTAATATCAAGAAAGTTAGCAATGAAAAAGAAGCCTGTTTCTACAAAAGTTATGAATAGTGGTGTGGTAAAGAAAGCTGTCAGCTCTTGCCCAGCCAGCCTGACCTGTGACTGCTACGCAACAGATAAAGTTTGCAGTATTTGCCTTTCAAGGTAACTTGTTTTAGCGGTGCTATAAAATCACCAGCATGCTGCCAGACAAGATTATAAACTGAACTAATTTTGGTGGGCAGTTTATTTAGTGAGTAAAAGAGAGTAACAGTGGCTGTGTAGATCTGTGAACTACACAGGCATTGATCCAGAGCAAAGCCTTGCAGAGCATATAATGCTTGTCATACATTGTTTATTTAACATGCATATGCTCTTTAGAAAATACATTTGCGCTAATATGCGGATAATTTGAGGGGTGGAAAATAGATGTTTTTAGAAACTTAGAATTGACATTTTGCTTGCTGATTTAATCTTTTCTGTTTTCTCTGTTTCTGCCTATGTGGAATAACCAGAACCAAGTAATAGAGCTTCATTCTTACTTCTATCTTTAACTCTTTGCCTCAAAATTTTTTCCCTTTCCTTCAAACTTGGCTTTCTTAAAGCTTTCCCTGATTAACTCAAATATATGAGAGACTATATCAACACTTAATCACCCAAAAACAAATGAATTTTTATATAAATTCCTGTTACGTTCTATTTTTCTGTTATGGCTTTTATCATTTGCCATGTCTTTGTGCTTAGAAATTACCTTAAGACCCTTTGTAGAATAAGGCTAGGAATCTAGTAGAGGAGGAGGAAACCAGTAGAATAAAGTCTAGGTAGTTCATCCCACTAGATTATCATTTGTTTTATACCATTTGTATCTATATCAAGGCAAAATTTACTGGGAACCAAATTGATAAATGTGCTTCCTTAAAAGAGTAATTCAACTTTAACATAACTAGAGAAATCTTCTTTCTTCATTATAAGGCATCAGCAAGTTGCCCCTAGGGCAGGTACACCAGGATTCAGAGCACCAGAGGTCTTGACAAAATGCCCAAATCAAACTACAGGTGAGTTGCCCTGGAAATACAGAATCTGATTCAAATGGTTTATCCAAAGTACTTTCTTTTGGTTTTATTTTTGAGCAAAGGTCTCACTATCTATTCCTGACTAACCTTGAACTCCCTATGTAGCCCAGCTGGCCTCAGACTTGAGGCAATCTGGTCCCCCTGCCTCAGCTTCCCATTACTGGGATTATAGGTGTGCACCACCACTTCCTGGCCATATATATTTTATTTTACGATCTTTAGGTATTTTGAGTAATATTTGAGTTCTTGCTTTTAAAATACATAACAGTGCTAGCAGTGCAGCATTCCCATTTTCGAGATGTTATTTTTTATGAAAATTTCTGATCCTAATAATGGCTTCTTGTTTTTAAAGAATTTTTCTGTAAGAGTATTTCGCTCACAAGGTAATTTTGTTACTACTATCACTTTTGTAGAGAAAAAATTGTGTTTAGTAGTTTTTACCAACTTGTACTTCATCTGTTTACTTCCTACTTCAGTTTTTGTTTTAATACTTCAGTTTTTTTGTGGTACAGATATAATTGTGTTTGGTTAGAATTATTTTTTATTAGTGTGAAAACAGTAGAACAGCAATTAAAAGACTTTGGAAAAGAAAAAAATGTGTTCTGTAATCTGAAAGTTGTCATGAGCTAGAACCCAGGTAACACCTTGTTGAATGAATAGATGAATCTAATTCACTTGGATTAGAGGCTTTGAAGAAATATTCATTCATTGTGTATCTGTTCTGTACTTGCTAATGCTGCAGAAATGAATGAGACCATCTGCTCATGCTCTAGTTAGAGTGTGTTCTCAGATAGTTCTCAGTAGGTTATTGAGTATGGTAAAATTTCTGTATAAGGGATTTAAGAGATATCTGCTCTAACTCAGAGATTATGAAAGAAAGTTCATAGAAAAGGTGGTTTCTGAGATAAGTCTGTAAATGGTAGTGGTTGATTAACATTAAGGCATGAGCTGAGGGACTCAGACAACGTAGTTGAGGCATGTAGGAAACTATTGAGTTTGGGTATGATGTAGGAAAGGTTAATGTTTCTAGAATTTAAGGTCCAACTTAAATGGTTAGAAATAAACATATAAAAGAAGGATACAAGGTAAGATCATACTTGTTAAACAGTTTGGACTGTATACTATAGAAAGCTTTTCAAGACAAAAAGGTGGTGACTTTGTCTTTAGGTAGGTCATTCTGGCAGGCATACAGAGAGGGCAGATTTTGGAGGATGGTAACCTGCAGTGGTCCAGGGGAGAGATGATGAAAACATGAACGGGGGAATGAACAGAAAGGTGGAAGGATTGGAAAGTCAGAGATTGTTAGGTAATTGATTATTGAGTTTGGGTATGATGAGGCGGTGAGGGAAAAAGGCATCTATGGTGTTTACCAGATGCTTGCTGTGCTGAATTTCTTTCACTGTATATAGTAGCCACAGTGGAGAATAAGGGAGAGATAACTGGTTTATAGGGATAGGTAAAATTGGGGTGGGACATCACTGGATCGAGATATTTGTGACACATCCAAATAGAGATGCCTGGCACAGTAAAGCTAACTCTGAAGCTCAGGGAAGAAGCTGAACTAGAAATACAGTTGAGTGTTATCATTATTAAATGGTAGCTGAAGCTGTGAAGTGAATGGAATAATCAGAGACTTGAACTCTGAGGAACCTCAGCACTTAAGGCTTGGAAAAAACAGTGAAGGAACAGACAGAGGTACACATGGCTCTAAGAAAGATGGAAACCAGTGGCCAAGGGAATAGAGAACAGTGACTTGATGATACTAGTTCAACAGTTAGGAAAAGCTGTCCCAAAAAGGAGAAAAGGAGCTTTTTAATATGAAGCTGAGCTAGTGTTTTTTCCTGGTTTGGGGGGTGGTGTTGATTTTCGCACTGCTAGGATTGAACTCAGGACCAGTGCTTAAGCCAGACTTAATCTTAACTTTCAGAATTCAGGAGATTATTAAAGCCTCTGTAGTAATAGTTGATGTTAGTACCTGACTGAAGTAGAGCTTCTAAATTTCTTTATACTAAAATGAAAATAACTTTAACCTCTGGCTATAGTTCTTAAGGAGTATCCAGACTTTTTCTCCCACAATTATTTTTGGTTTCTTTTGCTCTTATAAAATGTAGTTTACTTAGAGTTTTCCAATGGTGAAGTATCCTTTTAAATTTACCAGAGTGTTCAAGGAAAAAAATACTGTGTTTTGTAAGGATGTTGAGTCACTAATACTGACTATGGTAAAATAACCTGAGGAACTTTTCAAAAATACAAATTTCAGAACTGATTATAATTTCTGAAAGATCGAGGCTGAGCATCTGAATTTTTTCAGACTCCCAAGATGATGTTAATGCACAGTAAAAGTCAAGAACTACTTATTTAGATGATGAAATTATATATTTGGAATTTGAAGTTTGTTTTCTGTTACAGCAATTGACATGTGGTCTGCAGGTGTCATATTCCTTTCTCTGCTTAGTGGACGATATCCATTTTATAAAGCAAGTGATGATTTAACTGCTTTGGCTCAAATTATGACAATTCGAGGATCCAGGGAAACTGTCCAGGCTGCTAAAACTTTTGGTAAGCAGTTTTGTGTTACAGAACAAAACAAATGCCTCTGATTATCTCCAACAAATCACTTAATAAATTATTTAAAAGTTCTCTTCACAAAGAAATACTCTGTTCATAAAGTTCTAATTTTAAGTGGGAAATTTCTCAGTTGCTTTAAAATATATTTTATTCAGGAAAGAAAATACTATCTCATTCTATTTGTGTCATCTTACCAAATCCAAAATACTAAACTACTCCAGTATTTAAAGTTCATTTTTATAATCTTAAAAGAATAAGGAATAAAAATCTTAATTCACTTTACATGGTTTGACTTACATAAATGTTTTTAGTAATACATTTAAATTTTTGTTGTTTATTAAACATCAGATTGCCTAATACTGAGAAAGTCTTTGTCTTAATTGATCTTAGTTTAACAAGTAAAGTTAATTTTAATACAGTGTAACAAGGTCTACAATGGGGAAGAGAATAGAGATGCAGGTTAGTTGTCAGATTCTTTAGGGTTAGGGTAGCAGAAAGTAAAAGGACTAGAAAACCTAATAAATGGAGGATTATTTTAAATATATTTTAGATACGGTAGGTCTTCTTCCTAGCCATGCAGGTTCTTCTTCTACCTCACAGGGCACCTAAAAATTACCTCAACTTTGCTCTGTCCAGCAACCTGAGCTCAGATGCATACCTTGTGTTTAAGATAACTACGGTTAATATTTTCCAAGGGGTAGATATAATGCGTTAGCTTATATACACAATATGAACAAAGTTTCAGTCAGCCTATCTCTAGTGTAACTGGGCCCACATCTGGGATCAATGGTCTTAACCAGAAGTGCACATCAGAATTATGTGAGAAACTCCAAGAAACACACATGCATGCCCAACCCCACCCATTTCTGGAAAATATGATTCAGAAAAATATACTTAGGAAGTTTTCAGTTGTTAATCTGATGACAGAAGTGAATTTGACTAAATAACTACTCCTGGGTAAGCCCTGCTGCAAAAATGATTTTGTCCCTTGCTTAGGTACCAATGCCATGGTCTAATTCACAAGAAAAACTTAGTGGTACTTAGGAAAGTCTCAGAATCTTGCAAAAATTATTTCTGCAGTAAAGTCATTCCACAACTTTATCTATCTTCTTCCTAAATATTTTGATTTTTTTTGGTTTTTTGTTTTGTTTTGTTTTTTTCTCCGGTACCAGGAACTGAACTCACGGCCTTGTGCTTTCCAGGCAGGCGCTTTGCCGCTGAGCTAAATCCCCAGCCCCTATTCCTAAATATTTTGAATATATACTCTTCTTTGATCATGTATAAAAATAATGTAGGTATATTGTACAGCTTGGGACATGCTATAACACCTATGGTTAATTATTTCATGGCTTCAGAACAACCTAATAAGTTGAGGAATAAGCCTATATGACTGTTCTCTAGACCTTGCTAGAGAAAATAATGATAGGGCTGGGGATAGAGCTCAGTGGCGCAAGCACAAATCCTGAGTTCGATTCCCGGTACCAAAAAAAAAAAAAAAAAAGATAGATTTAAAAGTGAAAAAGAACTGACATGCTGTATCCTCACCAAATTAGACTGGTAATTTGTTTCTTTTGTTTTCACCCTGCCCTCCTTTTTTTCCTGCCTCAGTATACCAGTCCAGTGGTTAGATCAGAATATGTAAGGGTAACTTTTTATTACCTAGATCATTTGGTTGATAATCTGAATAATCCAAAAAGGAATCTAAACATTCTGCTCCTCCTTGCTTAAAGGCATCTTTCTATTATAAGGAAATACAAGACAAAAATAGTATATATTTGCCTAGTGGTATGTTTGTGGGCTTTTTTCCCACTATATCTAATAATAAGCTCATGTGGGGAGGTAAAGATATTTTAAAAAAGCAGGTCTGGTTGAATATTAACTCATTCAGAAGTGTTATTAGGGCTTTATATGTGCTAGGTACTATTGTGAATCTCTGCTTTCATAGAACTCAAATTCTAATGAGGTAAAGAAAGTAAGTACAGTAAATCCTTGACTTAGGAACATTTGTATTATACACTTTCACAGGTGTACTGTGTAAACTCACTTTGCTTACAAATGAATCCACCTTACAAACAATTCTGGAATGGAATGCGTTCACAAGTCAGAGACTCACTGTATTTACTATCAGAAATGGATGCTGTTGAGAAAGACAAGGAGAAGAGCAATGAAGAGGGCACAGCTATTTAGGATAGAATGATCAAGAACAGTGTTTCTGAAACTGTGACATTTAAACAGAGTCACTCAAATGAGTAATGCTTTTTCCTTCAGTCCAACAGACGTTAACTGAAAACCTAATATGTACCAGGCATTGTATGTTTTGGGGGTTCAAAGATAAATAAAACTACCCCTACCTTCAAAGAGCTCAGTCTCTGGAGGTGGACATACATTTATCAGTTAAAATACAGGAGAGCAAAAGTACTAGAACTCTCCCAAGGGTCTGACGGAAGCTTGAAATACTCAATTCTCTGAGTGTCAGACCTTAAGGAGTGATTCTTGACCTAAGTGGCATTACGTCATAGGCCCGTGATGGGTGTAGAGCGTCCCAGACCATTGTAGTCAAAGGCATAGAGGTTTGGAAGTGGGGTGAAGCATGGTAGCTAAACTGGTTAAAGATAACAGAAGGTTAAAGTGAAGCTGAAAATGTTGACAGTGAGTGAGTGTGCCTGGTTACTGCTTTCTACTTACGATCTCCCACTTTGTGGTTGGCCTTCAACTATGTAGTTCAGATACAATTTAAGAATAGTTTGTAGTCTATCTCATACTCTGTCTCCATAAAAATATGTGACTGTACTCACATGATTCTCATGAAATGTTTCTGTTACATTTAAATAACATGTTTTGTTTTTCTTCCTTTTAGGCAAATCAATATTATGTAGCAAAGAAGTCCCAGCTCAAGATTTGAGGAAACTCTGTGAGAGACTCAGGAGTCTAGATTCTAACATTCCCAAATTAGCAAGTGATACCCAAAGATGTCCTTCTCATGATTCAACTTTTTCAGAGAAGACTGACCATAAAGCTTCTTACATCACACAAAGATCTCAAGCACAGCCCTCAAGAGATTCATTATATAAAGGGGATAATAATGGGTGGAGGAATCACTTTGATGAGAATAAGACCAATTTAGAAGGCTGGGACGAGGTACCTGATGAAGCTTATGATCTGCTCGATAAACTTCTAGACCTAAATCCAGCTTCAAGAATAACAGCAGAAGAAGCCTTGTTGCATCCATTTTTTAAAGATATGAGCTTACGATGATGGTTCTTCATTTAATGTTATCGTCATACATTGTGAGGCGGAGTGAAAGAGTCCTTTGTAAAAATAGCCATAAGTTCTTATTTAAGGAATAAGGAAGGATGAATAATTTATTTTAAAATTTCAGTATTTGTTCTGGTGGCAGATGGTAAAATATAGATTAAAATTACTTAAAATGCCTCGAAGAGTTCTCTGGACTAACTTCGTGATCTTTGAGTTGAACCCAACCAAGTAGAATCAGATCTTTAGTTTCCTTTCACTGCCAAGCAAAGGAGGAAACAGTTTCACCCTAGGCCATGGGTTCAAGATATGAGATTAATGGATGTGCTAGGGGTTAAATGAGTCAGAAACTTGGTTTCCTGCTGCCTTAACACTATGAGCTGTGTGTCTTTTGGGAAAATGCAACCTGGTGCTAGTGCTCTCAAAATTTTTTTTAGGTAAAAATACCTTCTTGAGATACACATTATGCCTTTTGTAAACACTGAGGAAATATCTATGGGGCAAGATTCCACGTAAAATTGTATTTATCCATTTAAAAAATGTTTCATGAAATCTTTTTCGCATTGTCATGTTTTCCTGGTTTTTCTCCCTTCTCTGTCCCTACCTAACACATTCTCCTTGGAAATGATATGGTACCATAAAATTTCTGGGTGCTTTACTAAGTGTAACATGTTTACAGTTGGGAATTTAAAATAATAACTTGCACACTGATTGATAAGGGGACGCTTTCAGGACCAAGGTGAATATTGATAGTCCAAAGTGCTTTTCTTTTTCTGTATTATTTATGTTTTCCCACAGCATCTTAATGTATAATTAGATAACTGCTAAAGGGAAAAGTGAACATAAAATTGAGAATTTTACTGGAGGTATTTTTCTCTACTTAGAGCCATTCACATTTCTACAGCTGTTTTGACTTAAGTGGGTTAGGAAGACATAAGTGAAGGATGCAAAGTAGAAAAGGACCTAGTATAGAGGTTTATGTTATTTACATTCCAAAATGATCCACAACAGTGTATCACATTTCCTATATGGAAAATAAGTCTGGGAGAAGTTTCCTGTTTAGTTATAGATAGTTTAGGGACAAATATTCACTATTCTGATCATTGGTAAGTCAGTATGCCTACCTAATGTTTGGTAAATGTAGTACGTGTGTGTGTGTGTGTGTGTGTGCGCGCATGTGTGCCATTGCCATTGATTTGATGTCTTATGCTGTAATTTTTTTTAAAAAAAACTAATGTCCTTGAATTTGTATATTTAATAAAATTATCCCTTGGTATTTTTATGTCAGACTATTTATTTAAAAAGTAGTACTTTAGCCAGATGTAGTGGTGCACCTGTAATCCCAGCTTCTGAGGAGGCTTGGGCGAGAGGATCGTAAGTTCAAGCTTGGCCTGGGCAACTTAGGCCCTGCCTCAACATTTAAGTAGGTTGGGGAATAGAACGCAGTGATTATGGTTCTGGGTTTATCTCCAGTGTGTGTTGGCATGTATCTGTACTCCCAGCTATGTAGAAGGCAAGACAAGAGCATCCCTTGAGCCCAGAAGTTTGGGGCCAGCTTGGGCAACACAGTGAGACCACCCCATCGCTTTTTGTAAAAATAAAAAAAATTTAAAAATTTGCCTGCTTCAGGTTAATGAATACTTCTTTTCAGCAAACAGTGATAATAGGTTAGTAAGTATTAACTTTTAGTAATAATAAATATAAATGGCTTGTCACAATGTATTGTCCAAATAACATAAAAGAAGGTTTGACGTAGAAGAGAGGGTCGTTGACTTGACTGATAGGATATTTGTCCCAGATGGAGTAACTCACCTCAGTGATTTAAAATGAAAGTGAAATGCTTTATAGCCAGCTGGAAGTTTTGATTCACAAGTTAACAAATTAAGAAGAAGAAGAAAATTTTACCAGTAGGATGGGAGAGGGAGACAGTCTCAGGAAAGTTTCTAATTCAAACCTGTCCATGTTAACTTTCTGTAAGGATGGAACTTGGTGATATCCAAGAAGGGAGATACTGGAGCTGGTGTTTTAAAAGAGTGCTGTGTTACAAGTTAGTTCCTGGGAAATTGTAAGCCCACTGGAGAACATTGCTATAATTTGGGGGGAAATTTCCCAATGTGCTCCATCAAAATTAGCAAGAATGCATATTGAGACAGGCGTTTGGAATACAATTTTATAATAGCAAATACCTCCCTAAAATATTTAATCAGCCACAATAGTCACTTCTAGAGAAAGACTAAGGAGGTAACTAGTTAGTGCTCTTTCCAATTATAATGGGAGTTCCTGGAATATTCAGCTATTTTTCATTGTCAACCTTTTAAAATTCTTATTGCTCAGGCTCTTGAGATAAAATTGTTAAGGGTATTTTCATTAAATATGCCTTAGTCATTTAGAACTATTAATATAACAAATTACAAGTGTTGGTTTTCAAAAGAGGCTGCAGCTCTAGCATTTTTAATGAAACTTTTCCTTAAAAGGAGATGATTATAGTTGTCTTAATGACCTAAATAAAAATGTGGCTCAAGAGTGGTTATTCCAAAGAATTAGACAAGTTTATTTCAAAATCAGAGCAAAAGTCATCAAGTAATGTTAATTGTTTCGTTTCTGGCATCACTATTTTAGGGACAAAACTGTGCTACAGATGTCATAATAGTGATTGCATAAAATCTTGAAACCCACAAAAGTTGTAGGCTTAGGTCTTAGTAATTTCTGTTGTTTATGTAATTTCAGCCCTTCACATCATTGAAAAGTTATTTATCTTAAGAAACTGTGGCCAAAATTAGGCGGGTAATGCTGTCTGCCAGTGTCTACAGATGTACTGTTTCTGCCTGCTTTGGTGCACGTCGTCTGTGGTCTTTAAAGAACAGTATCTTAACCCAGATGGTAATGTCAACTCACTCTTAAAACTTTTTTCCTATATTCTTAGAACTGATGTTGCTGTTTCTCAATTTTGTCAAATTATGTGTCTGAACTGCTTTCCTTCCTTGAAAGGTAGACATCAACGATGTACCAGATAAGTAATCAGAAGTAAAGCTGTGTCAGATTAAGGCAAGGTTTTCAACAAAGTAACCACAAGAAGTGCTAACGTAAGTGTTTATTAAATGATGTTTTAGACATGTAAAGTGAAAAGGCATATTCTTAGGAAAGTCACAGTAAATTGGATGAAAAAAATTATAAAAAGTTCAGAAAAGACTGCCGGGCATGGTGGTGCACACCTGTAATCCCAGCACTCGGGAGGCTGAGGCAGGAGAATCATTGCGAGTTTGAGACCAGCCTGGGCCACAAAGTGAGCTCAAGGCCACCCTGAACTGCAGAGCAAGACCCTGTCTCAAAAAAAGACAGAAAGCAAAAACAAAAAACCGGAAAAAGTTCAGAAAAGAATTGCAATTTAATATTTGAGGTTAATTTTGTGTGTGTGTGTGTGTGTTACCGGGAATCGAACTCACGACCTTGTGCTTGCCAGGCAGGCGCTGTGCCGCTGAGCTAAATCCTTTATTTTCATTGCTTTAGAAAATGAACAATTTATGGAAAAAAATTTAAAAGGATGAGTAAACAACTTTTGAAGGGTATATACATAGCTTTTATAAGGAAAAATTAGAAAACAGGTGTAAATGGCTTAGATTTCTATTCAAGCATACCCCACAGGCAGAATATGCTTTTTAGTTGAACACTTCATGTCCTAACGTTTAAGCAGATTCCATGTTAAACCTGGCTGAAGCAACTCTTTAAGAAAATTTTGCACTAAGATTTGTAATCACAACATAATGAAGGAAAATAGGGAAGCAATAACTTCTAGATTTGTCTCTAGTTGCAGATTTAGAGAATGCCAGTGCCCCACCCATAGGAAGCCAAGAAGATGGATCAAGGTTTCTGATATCCTTTAATCAAGGGTAAAAACAGAATACTTAACCAACTGTGGGGTAAGTGGCACAGTTGTGGGGTGGGTTTTGCATATGTCCTTGTATTACTGATGGTGTGTTTTTGTAAGTGTATTTAATTATATATTTGCCTTATGTGTAAGCTCCTTCTGTAACTTCGCTGAAGACTAGCATATGATCTAGAAGTGACTCCAACTAGGACCAGACCAAGAAAATAAATCAGAAACAGATGCATGTCTCTGTAGCCTTACAGTGTTATTTTAGCTGTCTTTTAAAAAAAGGAACTGGGAGCTGGGGAATCTATCCACCTCCAAACTTCTCTAGACACTCATCTTAATGCTTTTTTTTATGGTGTAGAAATTTTTGCATTTTTTGGTATGTTGCTGATTGTTATCTTCCTATACTCAAATTCTCTGATTAAAAACAAAACCAGTCACACTGTATGCGTAGGTAGGTGTGTGAATAATGTTTAGGCATGTGTTACTTTTCTCTTGTTCCTGGGACAAAATACCTGACACCCAAAATTAAGGAAGGAAAGGTTTATTTTGCTTACAATTTGTGGAGGTTTCAGTCCATACTTGGCAGGTTACGAGGCAGAGTGGCACATGGCAGAGGGTTACAGCACATGGCAGCAGAACACAGCAAAAGCAACAAGCACACAAGGGAGGAATGGCCGCAAACAGCCTCTTCCTCTCCCTTACATATGCAAAGAATCCACC